GTGGTGAGAGTTGTAGTGTTTAGTTGCATTTAGGGCTCTGGGGGACATATCTCACATTTGACACACTTGACACAGCGAGTGGTACCCAACGGTGCTCCTGGAAGCAGTACAGCAGACACCTAAAAGCAGCAGTGACCACTGAGCCTCTGAAAATCATCAGCAATCAGTAACTTTAGGGGACCAGAATGGACAAGACCAAATGGTGGTTTTCACCCAAGAACTGAGAGACTGGGGTTAGGAGTATGCATTCGATATTCCCTTGCAGACTCTGAGAACAATTCGTAGAGGAATTCTAGGGATAAATTGATTGTAATCTAGTTTTACCATAGCTCATGAAATCATACAAATCGTTTACACTGGTGTCTTCTAGAAAAACTACGTTGTTATACATTATACCTTCACGTGACGCTTTATACACCATCCTCAAGAAATCCATGATTTGTAGAGAAAACAAATATGTACATAAATAATTATAAAACCAAAGTGATAAAGCCTGTGAATGACATGTAAAAAAAGTAAAGACTTATGACAAAGCACGGGGGACTTGAGTAATGCTGTGTGGGACTAGAGAGGGTGGTTAAAGGTACTATGAAAAGTTTGAATTGTCATAAAAGACAGTTTATCCAGTGGGCAAGGAGGCATGGGTTTCCATAAAGAGTAAACAGAGTGTGAAAAGGCATAGTACATGAAACTTCACAGTCTGTTGAAGGATTAACGGGTGACTAGAACATAGAATGCATTTTGAGAAGTGGCAGAATATGTAGATTACATGAAACTGTAAAAAAAAATATGCACAAGCTCAGTTTCCTGTCCTGAGATTAGCACTTTACAACTTCATGAATTTAATTAACATTTAAAAATTTCTGTGAACTTCAGTTTCCTCATCTGTAAAATGAAGATGAAGATAGCCATATTGTGCATATCAAACAAAATATAAAATATTTACCCCAATACCTGTTTTGGTAGATGCCCAACAAATATTAGACCCTTCTTCTAATGTTTTCTTTTAAATGTGGACAGAGGCTAGATCATGGAGGCATTTATATGCTGTGCAAAGACATTTCAACTCTGTGATGTAGGTAAGGGGAACCTACTTTTAAGTTTTAAGCACATGTACGTTTGTAAGATCTATGTTTGTAGAATGAAGGAAAAATGACTAAGTCCAGTGATATGAAGGTAGAATAGCCAAGACCCTTAGGGAAGGGTCCAGGGTAAAGGAAAGATGCTACTATTCTATGAATGGTGCTCCCTAGAGTTGTGCAGTATGGTGGCCCTGCCGGAATCCAGGATTATGCCCAAATTTGGATGACTGGGTGAATAGTACTCCATCAACAGCATAGGAAATGGGGTTGTGGGGTGGACAAGTAGATATACCAGGAAGGATATTGAATTCTCTTTTGGAAATATTGAGCGAAATGGAAGTGCATGTAGAAAAGAACTCCATATTTAGCAAACACATATGTCCAGAATAATCAGCATATGTCTTGCAGTTTAATGAGCCGAGGACTATGGACAGGTCTCCGAGTACCACTAATGTTACATAGGCAGGTGATGTAAGGGAAGCCGGGGAAAGGGAGCAAGAAGGTGAGACCAGAGGAAAAAAAGAGGCAGGGGGCGATGTTCAGAGATTAGTATTATAGATGTCAATGAAGTAAGGCATTTTAAAAAAGTTAAATTAGTGAATAGTGTCAAATGCAGATGAAAGGACCAGTGAAAAATAATATGCAAAATGATCATTGGGTTTACCAAGGTAGAGGTAATTAGTGGTGTGATAAGAGAAGGAAAGTCTTAGACGCTGTGATCAGTAAGCTCAGCTCTGATGTGTAAGAGTGAGTTAGAACAGTACCCATAAAATAATGTGAGATCTCATATATATTTAAAATGGAGGAGAATTGAGCATACTTTAAGCTGGTGAGAGGTGATGGAGATTTTTGTTTTTAGTTTTTATTTTACTTTTTTCATTGTACATGTTTATAGGGTACAATTTGTTGTTTTAACACATGCATATTTGTATAATGATCTAATCAGAATAGTTAGCATATCTATCACCTAAACCATTATAATTTTTTTTTGTGGTTGTAACATTTGAGATCCTCTTTTCTGGCAATCTTGAAATATACAATATTATTAGTTATTGTCACTCTAGGGCACCAGAACTTATTCTTCCTATCTAACAGTAACTTTATAACTTTGAACCAGTCACCAACCTTTCCCTGATCCCTCCTTCTCCCCCTTTCTCTGGTAATGACCATTCTACTCTCTATTTCTCTCTTCATTCTCTCTTTTTAATTTATTTTTATTAATTGACCCATGATATGTATGTATTTATGGAGTATAATATGATAATTGGATATATTCATCCTGTGTGCGATGATCATATCAGGGTGCTTAATATATCCACCATCTCAAACATCTGTCATGTCTTTGTGTTAGGAACATTCAACATCATCTTGAATAGCTATTCGAAGATACACAGTACTTTGTTGTTAACTGTAGTCTCGCTATATTACTATAGAACGCTAGATCCCACTCTTCCTGTCTCTCTAATATTGTGTATGCACTGACCACCCTCTCCCTCTCCTCGCCTTCCCTTTCCATGCACCAGTCTCTAGTATTGAAGATACAGGAATCCCAACACTGTTTAATGATTGCACTTATCACAGAGATGGTTATAAAACTCAACTAGGTCATCACAGCTACTCAACAACACATGGTAGTTTTACACATCCCTCTGTCTTCCTGTCCTCCAGTGGCCATTTCATATATCTTCCCACCTTTCCTTAGACCTTGGACCTTACCTCTTACCCTCTTGCTCTTTGTAGATGTCTTTACCTCATACTTCACAGGGAAGATTTGCAACCATCAGCTAAGAATCTGCTGTCCTTCTGCATGGAGGTGTGGAGTGTAGAAGAATGAGCAAATTTCATCCATGAGCTGATAGGTGAGGAAGACTTGTGTCTTAGAGGAAGACACAGGTTTCAGTTAAGTCCCCAAAGTAGACAGGACTTATTACCAAGAGGATGTTAATGAGGATGTAGCTGAGGTTTTCATCATGTAAGAAGGGACCCAGACAACAGAATGCACAAATGTGAGGGAGGTCACTCATGAGCAAGTGAGACGTAGAGGACAACCAGAAAAAATGACAATAAAGGCACTGGAGGAGATTAAAATGATCATCATGACATTTTTTTTCTGGGGTTAGACAAGGTGCCTGGAGAAAAGTACACATTTCTACGAGGGAATGAAGTTCTAGCTGGGAGTTAGAGGTGTATATATGATGGCTGGGAGTTCGGGTAAAGAAGCCTTCTGTGATCCTGTAACCATCAGCAAATGTTTATTTGTAACTTTGAAAATAAAGACAACTTTTTCAAGAAGAAATGAGTTTTAAACAGGAAAAAGTGTCTAGACGCAGAATGCACATGATAGTGTTTGTTCATTATGTGAATGAAAGAAAGAGGTACAGGACTCTTCACAACATATTATTATGTGAAAAATGCAAGTAAACAAAACAAAATCATGTGCATGTGTGTGTGTGTGTGTGTGTCTTTGTGCATCAGAAAAACACAGAGAGACCCTGTAGTGGATTGAATTACATGCCCCCCAAAGCCATTGAAGCTTGAATTGTGTCCCCAAGTTTTACATATTAGAAACTTAGCCCCCACTGTGACTGTTAAGAGGCTGGGAAATCCTATTATGGTAATTGAAAGGTGGAACCTTGAAGAGGTAATTGGATTGTAGGACCATGCAGTAGTGAATGAATTAAAAATGGTGGTCAGGGGCATGGTTCTGAGGACTTTAAAAGAAGAGAGTCTGTTTCTCTCTCTGTCTCTGCTCTCTCTGCTTCCACCATCTTGCAATGTGAGACCCCTGCATCACTGTCACCAACACCAGGTGGACTTTAGACTTCCCAGCCTCAGAAACTGTGAGCGATAAATGTTGTTTTTCTTTATAAATCACCCAGTCTCAGGTATTCTGTTTCGGCAATACAAAAAGGACTAATACAGACCCCATGCCAAGGGATGCTCTCTAGAAGTGGTGCACCTACTGGTCATTTCAGGGGCAGGTCTATGTTTAGTGAGACCAGAGGTCTATACAATTCTGGGACCTTCTTTAGGAGAAAAAGATACAAGTTTATGGATTCATGTTAGTGATAAAAGTAAATATTTGTTTAAGGAATCCCAAGCTCCATTTTCTCCACAGTAAATCTGTCTTTTTGTGACTTTTACAGTTTTCTCTGTATCTATTCCTATAAATTTCCAACAATGAGCACAAACTACTTTAGAAATAAGAACTAAAGTTATTTTTAGGCAGAAATATAAATTACTTAATTCTTTCATGCCAATCACGCTCTCAAATCTTCTCACATTAGATTTTTTGTAATGATACTAAAGGTGTTTTTTAACTGAGAGGACTACAGAGCTTAAAAGCTTATGTTGTCATTTATGGTGCATTTCTAGAAATTTGTCCACAGAATTCCTAGCTTGAGCTTAACCTTGAATTGTATTTACTTATATAAAGCACCATAGACAAATATCCTGAAACAAGAGGAAATTTAAAGTCAAACAACTCCTTTAATCAGTAAAGCCTTGTTTTTTTCTTAACAAAACAAAACAAAAACAACTACAAAAAACCATGGACATGAGTTGTGCTGATTTTAGTAACCCAATTTAAATGGGTTTACATAAATTAGGTTACTTCCTCCCCAAAAAAGAGTTGTCGCTATATCAAACATTCTTTCTAATAGCATGCCTCCTCGCCTTCTGCAGTCACAGCTGCCTGCTCACTTTAAACTGTAAAGTGCCTTCTACTGGAGGATTTCTTTAGTAACAGGAAGTGACCATGTAAGAAAAGTTTTATACTGGTTCACTTTATCCTCTCAGCCATCAAGGAAGTACATAACTGACTGTAAATGATTTGGGGACTGTCCCTATAATTTTTTCTCAGTGAATAAACTGGTGAAGGGTATCTCGAGATGTAGTAAAAAGAAAGTGTTTCCTTACCTTTGGAGAACACGAATTTCTGTGACTTGGTGTGGCCTCTGGGGAGACCCCTTTTGGATCAAGAGAAGCATTTCTCTCAATCAGATCCCGGATTTTATTGTCCAGCTCCATGCTTTCGCATCTGCCCAGGAAGACATGGCAGGTTACATTTTACAAAAGTTATTAAAAATTATTCAAGGGTACAGTGATTTTATGAATGATATGGAGGACTTATTTGTGTATGATACCTCTCTAGACTCTCCCGAACTCTAATCTCACTTGATTTCCATTAGTCTATGCCATAACACTTTGAAAGAGTATTAGATTTAATTTTCACTTAGTTGTACACTTATACAAAGTGATAAAGTAAGATACAGATGAGTTTAGGCATTTTCACAATCTGATAACAATGACAAGAATTGAGCTCTCATAGTGAGCAAGGTACTGTAATACATTTTCTCATTCCATGGGCACAACAACCTATTGAAGTAGTCTCTGTTACCTGCATTTTACAGATAAGCAACCTTAAGTTTAGGAAGTTAACTAACTTATTGCCTTCCATAAAGTCAAACTGTGAAACTTTGGCAGGGACAAGATCACACTCTGACCTGTAGAATTTATAGCTTGTCTCAACCATTTTTCTTGTATATCTTCAATTAACCTGAGAACAGATTCCTAAGAAATTACTTGCTGCCAAATGAAAATATTATTATATTATATCCAAAGAGTATCTAGAAGTACCTTAAGGAGAATCTAGTCCAAATGCTTCATTTAGTTGAGAATCAGAGTGAATTGCTCATAGTCACATGACCATTAACTGATAACACGGACTTTTAAACCAGATCTTCTGGCTCACATTAAATTCTTCTTTCCCTTTATACTATGTTGGCATGATGGAGATATTTTCTCATTAAAAACACAACTCATGAGAAAAATGCATTAATTGTGTAACTTCTCTTTACATATTTTTTTGCCTGACACATCATATCTTACCCCCTAAAAATAACCCCTTGGACAGGGGGAGTTCTTGCAGGAGGACTTCTCAAAGTTGTCTCCAATGAGATAAATATGAAGATGGATGGCCTAATTGTATGTCTGTGTGGCAGAGGTTGCTTGGATCTTCTGCCCAATCCACCACCTTCTTTGTGAGTGGCTCCCAGGAGCAGGCTCTGACAGCCATGCTTGTTGATACTACTGACCTGCTTCCTTGATTATAAATGATTGGACCAATAGAGAACAACTGATCTCAGCTTAGCCAGAGATATAGTTTGGATATGTTTGTCCCCCCAAAGCTCATGTGGAAATCTGATTCCCAGTGCGGCAGTGTTGAGAGGTGTTTGGGTCATGGGGGCAGATCCCTCATGAATAGGTTACTGTCCTCCCTGGGGTGGAGGGTAGTGAGTGAGTTCTCCCTCCATTAGTTCCTGCTAGAGATAGTTGTTAAAAGGAGCCTGGCACCCTCCCTTCCTCTCTCTTTTGCTTCCCCTCTTGCAGTGTGATCTTACACTTGCCGGCTGCCTGTCGCTTTCTGCCATGAGTAGAAGCAGCCCGAGGCCCAGCCAGATGCAGCTATGCCAGAATTGTAAGCCAAATAAACCTCCTTCCTTTATAAATTACCCAGTCTCAGGTATTCTATTATAACAACACAAAGAAGCTAGTACAGCCAGTGAGACTCTCCTCTGTGTGCAGAAGGAGCTGAGAATGAAGCAGATGAGTAGTGAAATGCAGAGCTGAGAGATGGAGAGAGTCTTGACAATGTTCTAGTTCAGAATCAGCCCTTTCTGAGGCCTGGCTGCCTTCCTTCCCTTGGATTCTGTGAACCACTCCATTTCTTTATAATGAATTCCCTCTCCTTTTTTTTAAAGCCAGCTTTGCTTGATTTCTGTGATTTGTAGTAAAAAAAAATCCCTAAACATGCATCTTGACCTATTTGTATTTTTTTGTTCCTTTGTGAAATGTCTGTACCTCATGTCCTACATATAATCCCACTGTAAAACACAGGCTACTGGGCCTACAGCAAATCCTCCATGGCCCAAAATGTTGCACATGCATAGCATGGAGTTTGGACACGTCTTCAAGGCTTCCCACAGACCTGTGAGAAGGGTCACAAAATTTCTTTAGTAACTGCCCTAAATCCTTCAGATTAATTAGATTCCAGGGTAGCAATAGAATTAGACTAGACAGAACTTTAAGCCCCTGAGGCAGTTTTCTGACCTATCCTGAACAAGACTTACCCACCAACAGGTCGCAATATTTTCTGGTATTACTTCCCTCCGTGGCAAACACATTACTGAGCCATTTCAAACCCCAGACAGGATCATTTTGTGATGACCCACTATGATCGCCCAGTCCCAAAATTATGTGGGTTCCTTGCTATCTTTCTAATCTCAACTTCCTCCCCTTCCTTCCTGCTCTTTTTCCTCCTGACATGCTTGCCTCATCACACTTCATGGAACACGCCAGGACGATTCCATGTTAAGGCCTTGGCATTCACTGCTGCTTCTGTGTGACTCACTCCCCACTTCATTCAGGTTCTGACTCAAGTCACTTTATCAAGAAAGCCTCTGCTGACTAAGCCATCTAAAGTAGCTTTCTCAGCCCCGTTATCACTGTCCTTTAATTCTGTCTTCTTTTCTTAGAATTTTTTATTATTTTGACTTCTTATTTGTCTTCTGTTCCCCTGCCTCACCCCCACGTGTGCCCCATATATCTCCCATAAAGGAAGAAGGACCTTTGTCTGTTTTTATTCCCTGCTCTGTTTCCTAGCAAATAAAAGGACCTCAATAAATATCTGTTACTGAATAAATGTGACTCCACGATGAGATTTCACTCAAAACACCTAACCATTAACTCAAACCCAACCATTAAATTAGATGCTTATCTAAAGTATCTGCAAATAACCTCAAATTCGTAGAACTGATAAAATTGGAACATAAATCATTAACCAAGGAAACACTAACAGCAGCTTTAGAATGGGCCCTTGAGCTCAGTTGTTATTGCCTCCATGGCTGCCTTGTTCTTTTATACTTGAATCATATGTGTCCTTCAATATTCAACAATAATTAATTAAGAATCCACTGGCAAATCTTACAGAATTGCAGGATTCTGATTTTTTCACAGAAATAATCACATACAGCGATGATGCTCAAACTGTTTCAGCTTTAGTGGTGCAAATCTTTAGAGGCCAACATCCACCTTTCCCTTTTCATTTGCACGAGTGGGTGAAGGTTCAGATGCGCAGTTGGGGCCCTGCTCCCCCTCCTGTAAGCAGGGTTCGGCACATGTCCTCAGAACCACAGACAGAGGAAGAGGGGAGTCCTCCTGGGGATGATGGGTTCCCGGACTCGGTGCAGAGTGAGGCTGTGTGGTGACCACAGCTTTGTTGACTTTGGCTACTACGGAAAGAGAAGTGACAGCAAAGAAGAGAACCATATAGTGAAGAGCACAGGGGTGGAGCTTTGGTCACACCTATGGAGTGAGTGGGTCTCAGTGCTGACCCCTATGTCAGAGACAGGGCTTGAACATGCAGAAACCCAGATGGGAAGTGAAAGGACATGGGAGGGGTGGAGCTCCTGGGATTACAGAGGAGTATAAGTTAGGTGTTGAGCTCACTTTCTTTTCTCATTGCTACTGTTACTGCCATTGTCATTGTCACTATGATGAGTATGCCTCACAACTTACATATGAGGCCTCCAAAAGAAGCATCGTGATGCAGTAGAAAATAAATAGGCTTTCAGAGTAGAACATAACAGTGGGACCTAGTGTAAGTCACTTAACTTGTGTGAACTCTATTGACCTGGTTTATAAAAAAAGGAAAACAGTGTAATATTATGAGGCTTTCAGTAGAATCAGTGGTAACATATGCACAACGCTTAGCCCAGTGCCAGGCATGCTGGAGACGTGCAATGATTGATACTGTTGTTGTTAGCCTGCATGTCTGGCATAGTTACCCAACACACTAACAAACGAGTTTGAAATTTAGTATATTGCTGAAAAGAAAAGAAAAATAATTTAAGAAGCACAAAAATTTTCAATTTGGCTCAAAAGGTAAAAGTTTAGTCACATTTTGGATAAAAGACAGCCATGTCGCCTGCTTGGGTTTTATGATGTCCTTTGCAAATCTTTTAGATTATTCTTTTAACGTAAGAATTTAGTGGATGAAAATATTTTTGCATTCTATTTTTAATTAGTGAAATTTATTATGTTTTGTGAATTTCAATTTGCCCTAAATTTGTTTTACAAAAGAAAGTAGTACTTATCAAAGTTTATTTTTTTCCTGTGAAGCTCAAAATTTTCACAGTTGAGAGGTGGAATTAAAGTTGGTAAATCCCGATTTTCTCTCTGGATCATTTGATAATTTCATCCACATAGTTAAAAAAAGAAAAACACCCTACCAAACTTTTAAACACAAATGGAACAAGTACTACAGAATTCTTGCATTAGTTTTACTGGGCACGTGTTATTCTCACCTTGGGATCTGTTCCCTGATTCAGCTCAGCTGATTAGGTGAGAGTTATGGCTCCAGTGGCATGTGCTTTGGGTCCTACCCCTTATTCCTCCTTATTTTTCAGTTGGGAAACATGAGCCTTCTCTAAGGTAAATGACTTATGAGAATTCACTGCGAAGTCCACTACCCTTTACTCTCCCATTGCACTCTTAGTGATCTTAGACATTGTTAATACTAGCATTTCTGTTCCAGTTCTCAAGAAAAGAACATATTGGTGCCTCCAATTGAAATGCAACTGACTTGTAAAGTCAGATGTTAGGAGAGGCTTTGAGGATAAGATATAGGGATCAGATATTCACTCCGGATCCATCTTTTATGTGACTCCTTATTTTTCTAAGTTGTGAGAGCTTGACCACGGTCCATAGATAGGATTCAGGGGGTCCATGTATCATCCCAACTCAAATTAAATACAAATTAGTATGTGTGCTAGATGCTTATTGTCTCTTTCCAAAGACAGGATCTTTAGTTTTAGCAAATTCTTGGTTCCTCAAGAAGCTAAAAAGCACTGACCCAACTTTAGTCACTGTCATGAGTGACTACTTTAAAATAAAATCTCATCAAGGCTTTCTTTGTCTAAGAGTACACTTTAATCTTCCTTCCTTCCTTCCTTCCTTCCTTCCTTCCTTCCTTCCTTC